GATTTACTAATGCATGTGCACTTACACCGGAAGATTTATATACACCAAAGAGTTTGGGTTTTTATTGTTGTTTCTTTCGGCAATGATGAGCGTTATCGGTGCAACATAAAACCCAACAAAAAATATGATTATTGATAAATGAACCGAAACAAAAAAAGAAATCGTAGTAAAAGAGAACATTAGTAGAATAAGATACCCGTCCGTTAAAACACATTATTACAAGTTATATAAAATTAACAATTTAATTAAGAAAACTCCTTAATAAGCTCACCGGTTGTGTAAAAATAGTACTATTTAGGTAGAAAAAAAACTTTTGAATCAATCCCATTATATTGCAACTGTAGTCTCTAAGGATATGTTGAAAATGTACCCATTCAAGAAGCCCTATTTAACTCTTACATCTTAAATTATATATATTTTGAGCCGATGACCTCTTTTACGAAGCAAAAAAGCTGACTTGACTTCCGGGATTCTTTCGAAAAGAGCAACAAGGGGTACACTATTCGTAGTTGTTGCCGTATAGAGTTTCTCGGGGATCTCTATTCGACGCCTTTCATCTAATAGTGCTCCAAAATTTAATTAGGAGGTGTATTCGGAGAAGCTGTTGCTTTTTGTAGGATAGAGATCCTCAATTTTCCTCAAGGTAAAATGTGGTATTCATTGTAATGCAAACATTTGACGGGTGATTTGTGTGCGTTCAACCTGTTGTGGCCAGTGCGTAACCTGACAAGCGCACCACATGTGAGCAGTCTTCTTGCGACTCTTCAATAAGAGTATAAGCCTGCATATTAGCTTCAACTTCTGTCCTGTTATTGGTGCAGTGTTTTCCGGTTGTGCAACTATTTGTCTCCGTTTTGCCTCCTGGGTACACAATGTAGATGCCAGCTCCCCCATCTTGGACAGCGGCAGTTGCTGAGCCGTCTGTATATACATAGGTCCAGAACTCTTGAGGGAAGTCCTCATGTATCATAGCTTGTGTGAGAGTTTCTTGGTCATCTGGTTCTGTTCTGACAGTAGTGCGAATTTGAATGTGTGACAGGTCATGTTTCTATGACTCTGATAGGTCCTCCCTACCGAGAGGAGTGGTTGCTGGTCCAAGTCTAGCTGCTTGGATTAATGTATAAAGCTGCTCCTTCTAAGACGATTCTTTGTAAGACCATACAGTTTGTTTTTCATAGGATGATCTTGCAGGTACTGGTATTTCGTCACTTGTATCATCGTTTTTCTTCTCTTCTTTGACCATGTGGTGAGATCTTCCATAGCTCCAGTGATCACACGCAGGGCTTGGTTTTGTACCTTGTCAAGCACTTGCTGGTTTGTCTTGACAGTTGTCATCCATCCTGAGGATCCATACTCCAGGTGGGGTCTTAAAAGTGCCTTCATATACTGTTTTTAGTACGTCCTGACTGGCTCCCCAGGTGGTACCTGCAAGTTTTCGGAGGATGGCTAGCTTCTTTCGTGCTATATGAGCCTTCTATGTAAGCCGTTTGTCGAAGGTGACTCCGAGGTAGGTAGCCTTTTCAGCATCTGCTAACAGTGTGTTGATGAACACTGGACTGTGGTCACTGCCTGCAAGTTGTTCACCGACTATCCTTGTGACATGTCTATGAATGTCTTCTGTGCAGAAACCAATGTCTGGTGTAGATGAAGTATGCCAGCGTCTGAAGTAGAATGTCGGTTGGTCGTCAGGATCATTTATCAGGATAAGGTTGTGTTCATCTTGCCAGGTTTCAACCTCTTCTCCACGTCTGCCAATATGATCGTATCCCCAGCTTTGAGAGTGACTGTTGAAATCACCCACAATGAGAAAGTTTGTGTCCTCAGTTGGGATGGTTTCCGAAGACAAGGCCTTGGCATTTGGTCTAAATATCGATGCATTAGCTATCAAGCATAGACATAGTGAATTTTAGTGAATTTTAGATCCATAGACTTAATTATAGTGGCACTTGTTCGAAACAGGAATACATAAGCTTGGCAAAGAGGCATAATGAATTTTGAATACAACAGCTAGACATAGTGGCATCTGGTCGAAATATTAACTAGGTTCTTTGATTTTTATGTCGGTATATCACTATCTTAAATCAATTAAGGCATTGTGTCATTTGGTCGGAATATCAATATATTAGCTAGACTTACTGAATTTTTGTTCTAAAATCACTATCTAAAAAAAACTTCTTGTTACGTGGTCGTTATATCAAAATACAAAACGTATTAGTTGGGCTCACTGTCTTTTTGGTCGAAATGTCATTATCTAAATATCAATATATAAGCTAAACATGTAGTGGCATTTGTATCATAATAATTATATTAACCTTTGGTTGCTTAATAACCGTCGTTAAAAGCAGCCCACGCATGCCTAAATGCAACTTTACCAAACTCGCGTTAGTAATAATGTCACTGATAATCATTTTACACATCACTGTAACATCAACAAGATCAGGACTTCAGTGCAAAACTTATCCGTTTAAATGAGGAAAAATGTGTGAAAAGGGGATGTTTAGACTGTTAAAAAGTGCAAAATCTAGACGAAAGTAAAATGCAAACGCTATAATAATATGAGATCTAAGTAAAAATAAAATGCTGTCACTTTAATAAACCCCGTCAGCATCTGATAAAAGATACATTTATATCTATATCTAGAAAACTACGATATTGCAAGATTAAGAACATTACATCGGTGTAATGTCGTTGAACTGGCCATAAAAAGCAATTACCGAAATGAATAACAAAAAAAAAAACATACCAAAACATTTTTTATACAAAACATTTTTGACACCCCGTAAAAATGTTGATTCATTATGAAACAAGTGCAACCATTCTTTTCGGGATATCCTGTTTAAATTTATGATTAATATATATAATCACGAAATCAACATTTAAGAGTATAAAGTGCTATTTGAACTGTTTGTAATCACTAAGATATTTGTTTGATTTAAATAATACCAAAGTACTTTAATTTGAAAGATTGATCTTTGTAAATTTCCATTAAAGCAACATGCCTCCAGATTCATGTCAGTTTTCATGAAAATTAGAAAATGTATTTACAATTCTAACACTATCGGAAATTTTCCTATATAGACAAAGAAGGCCGGAAGCGTGCATTATTCTACATTCTAACACGACCCGCATTTTTCCCTATTGAACATAGAAGAACAAAAAGTGTGTGTTATGCAACAGCAAACTCCTCGCAGCGGTTACTTCCCCTGATCTGTACAGATAAAGTAGCAAAGCGTGACGTAACCGCTGTGAGGAGTTTGATGCAACAGATGCACAGTTTGACGTTCTATATTTAGACATGTGACGTAATCATTATACACGTGACGTAACCACTAAAAATCCGACGCGCTGAAAATGAATTCGGAAACCAATCAGGCGCAATTTTGCTTAACTATCAAGTACCTCAACATTTATTTGTTAATGTCCTGTTAGAATCGAAATAATATATCCAAATCAGTGATATCGGCCTTCGTGATTATATTACTAGTACTATAGAACTCTACGCATTTGAACTCAAACCGTGCATTATTCTTCAACAATGCACTCAGAATTGATATCTATTTCCTAAGTAAAATTAAGTGAAATGAACAAAGAAAGTAATTTACACATTGCAAATGGCACTTCCAATCCATGTAGATTACAAAAAATGTCAAAATATGCACAGTAATTGCCCTTAATGCGTTAGTCACGCAATAAAATATTGTGATAAATAATGTAAAGTCGGTCATTAATAGCATCACACATGTAAAACATTACTTGAATCTTTTTACTTTACTTAAGATCTAAGTACATTTTTCTCAAATAGGATTTTCTGGAAATAGTTTGGAGGCATACAGCTTTAATCTGAGTGGCGCATAGGTAGAAGCATCGCTAAAACCTACTAAAATAGCATAAATATTATGCATATCATGAATATATTTTATAAGGGACTGTTTTAAATTTCTGACACTTTCCATTATTATTTTCTCAAATTATGACCAGGACAATAGGAAAACAGCACCCGCATGCATGTTTTCACTTGAATGCCATTCACGCTCCAATAGCCAAAATATTTCAAGAAAATCAAACTTGAGAAAAAAGTACTTAGAGTTTAAGAAAAGTAAAAAAAGATTCAATATTCAAGTAATGATTTACAATTCATGTTCGATTTATAACATCTTTTGCAGTATTTATCACCATATTTCTGTTCCGTGACTAATGCAGTAAAGGTTTGCTTGCCTATTTTGACGTACGTTTGGTAATTTATGAGGATCCTAAGTGTCATTTGAAATGTGTAAAATATTTCTTTATTCACTTAACAATGTTTTACTTCTAAATACGAGTTAAATAATAGTTCAAATTCAAATAAAAATCAATAGCAACACTATTACCCAACCTAATGATTAAATGATCTTTTACGAAATGACTACTAATAATAAGTTTTTAAACATATTTATTTAAGCTCGTTCTTATAACTTATATTAATCACTGTCGAGTCCGCTTCCTGGAACCAGCATGTACTGGTGTCATATGAAGAAACATGGTCCTGACCCGATTAGGGCTCGAACCCATGATCCCTGGGTTGAGAGGCAGACACCTTAACCTCAAGGCCTCCGCTCCCCTTGGACTACTAAGTTATTATAAAGGAGTGGTGTTAGATATTCTGATAGTATTTTAGAGAAATAGAATGTAGGAGAGAGAATATAAATAATCGTGTCGAGGAACAAAACTCAGATTCCATTTCAATTATTAATTTATTAAAACATTTTTTTTTTAAATTTCATTTCAGGGGAGTTAAGGCGCGTGAAGTAAAGCCATTCCTGATTTAAGAGTGATCGCCGTTGGGAGCATGGCTAATATAAGGTGTAGTGTAAGCTATGACTTTGTGGTTTATCGGATAACAGCTTTGTGTTAGCAATGAATATAAGAATATAAGAATTTTGATATGTACACTGGAACGTGTTTTTCGATCCATTTATTTGCATACCATTCTTGAACTATACAAAAGTACAGGAGCATTCAACTCCAAACACCAATGACAAAATACATCTTATTTCTTCGAATTTAATATACTTTATTCACACAACATTTTACAAAATAGTACACATGTATAATTCTATTGCAAAGCTCATTTAATACTGTCATGAATTTTAGAGTACATATTTGGTATACAAATATAAAAAGGATAAACTAGACACTATGCCACATATTGTGAATATAAAAAGGAAATTTGTCACAAAAATAAAAGCGCTTCATAGGTATGGATGAATACTTGTCACAAACACATGTATAAAAGCGCATCATTTGGTTAAACAGCACATTTTGCAACAATTTAAATAAAAGCGCTTCAATAGGTAATCAAAAGAAACAAAAGCGCTCTATATGAACATATAGGATACTTTGTCACAAAATAAAAGCTCTCCATAAGAATGAATGAATACTGTGTCACATACACAACAGTAAAAGCGTATCATAGGAATAGAAAATGTCACACAAAATCGAAGACAGCTTCATAATTATATAAAAAGGTATGTTTTTATCACAAAAATAAAAAAAACGCTTAATTTGGTTAATCACAAAGACAAAATTTCTTCATATGCATAAAAAGGATGTTCTGACTTAGAAACAAAGCATTTCATAAGATTAAAAAGAATACTTTGTCAGTAAAATAAAAGCGGTTCATAAGAATGAATGATTACTTTGTCACAAACACAAAAGTAAAAGCGATTCAATCGGCTGAAAGAGACATTTTTCCCCTTTATATAAAAAATGTCACAAAAAAAAGCGCTTTGTAAGAATAAAAAGAATGCTTTGTCACAAACACACATCTCTTCATATGATTAAAAAAGGATTTCTTGTCACAAAAATAAAAGCGTTTTTATAAGAATTGATGGCTTCCTCATCACAAACATAAAAATAAAAGCGATTAATTGGGTTAAAAAGGACATTTTTTTCCACAAAACAAAAAGAGCTTCGTTTTACATGTATATACTTTGTCACATATACATATACAAAAGCGAATCATTGGCTTTAAAAGGATGTAACTATTGTCTCGAAAACGAAAGCCTGTTTCAGATGCAACGATATTGCAGTTATTAGCCAGGCGACTTTGAGTAAAAATAATTAATAGAGTTGGGAAGGGGCCAATCTGATATATCAAAGATAATTCTTGTGGAGATGCAAAAATAAGAAAAATGAAACAAATGACTATCGACTTAAAAAAAACCTTGAGGAAAGCCATTTCAATAATCGGAACTGGTTCTCGACAGTTTTCACGCTGTACATGGTTAAACGCTTTTAATGCAGGGACTATCAGGTGAATTTGCAATAATTTATATATACTCATAAAGTTCTTTCAAGAAAACTAGCTTAATTATCAATCAACACAATCTTAAATTACAAACATGGTCCCTGTGTTTAAGCACAATGAAAACTGATCATCAAATTCGTAATTTAGAATGACTCAAAGAAGAACAATAAGAATACAAGAACTATTTATAACATCAAGGACTAAAAAGAAATACTAAAATGCAATTTCATATACTACCAAACTTCAATATTTTTATTACAACATCGCCAATTAAAGCTGCAAGCAACTTGATAATTATATATCATTTTCAAAAACTATCTTCTAAAATATATGTTTGTATGTAAGAAATATTAAACATAATATTGAACGTTGCATAAGAATTACATGAACACTTATAATTTTTACAATGCCATTGGTTGTCATGAATTTTACCGGATATAGTTATTTCTTCGCGCATGCGCAATGTGGGTTGAAAAAAAAATCACAGCATAATATGTAAGAATATATCTGTTTTACGATAAAGATGAGCTTTTTACACGTTGGATGCAAACTTTAACTGACTCGTATGGTTTTATGACATTTCTTTCCGGTTTTCCGACAAATGAGTAATTCTGGCGTATTTCTAGTCCGTTACTAACGGAAAATGGATTTTTTACATATTTTATAAACGTTAAAAATATTTACATTTTTGCGCATCAAATTATTGAAATTTCTTAGTTCTAAATATAGCAATAATCTGAAGGCATGCTGTAAATATCGATCATATCGATCAAACAAAATATTTCTTGAACACGTTAAAGACGTGAAACCCCAACTTGATAGCGTTTCAGAAATAATTTGTAAAGTTCAAATATACCATCTTATCGGGGTTCCCATATAGTTTATGCTAAAGTACCATAATTAATTAACTTATATATCATCTATTAAATTAAGTGACATAAAACGCAGAAGATTAATGCACATATTGACGTCACCACTGCGTTCGAATCGTTGTTGTTGTTATTATTATTGTCGTCTGCTTTGCTCTCTTTAGCGTCTCCAGATGCAGGTTGTGCGGAATATACACCTTTTTCTGTAAAATCAACAAGTAAAGAATGAGTACTTAGAGATTAAAATTAAAGAACGAATATCTGCCGAGATATATTCGTCTCCTCTGAACCTTAATTGATGATCCTTATTGATTTTTATAAGATCTTCAATAACGTTCAGTTTTGCTTATAGATCTATTATCAGTTGATAAACAACAAAAATACAATGCTTGTAAAACATATTTGCGAGTTGAGGGTATCTTCTGCTGGGAAGCACTACTACCTGTACGCCTACTCGTAAATTAGTCATCAAAGTTTATTACAAATGCGTACATCTTATTAAATATCATAGATATTAAAAGATCATAAAGATCATATCACCGGATAGTCTCATTTCTCCGCGCATGCGCAATCTGTCGTTCAAAAAATAGCAAAAAAAAACACGAAACGAAATAGGAAGTACCTTGCATATCATGTTGTTTCGACTTTACTGTGACCACCTCTGGATGTTTCGTGTCTCCACGACGTTTACATGTGTCGAGCTTACTTGCTGGCGGGCACACTGGTCGGTTTATCATCATACCATGCTCTGCAAATACAATATATAAAATATGAATTTCTTGAAAATATCCGCGACCACATAGAGGCCTCCGAGGCCGAGTGGTTAAGATTGCTAACTTTGAACCACTAGACCCTCACCATTTGAATTCGAATCCCACCATGGGAGAAAGCTATCCAGCCAGTTTACGGAAGGTCGATGGTTCTACTCAGGTTCCCACTAGTGCCAGAAGTAATGCACGGAGGGACACCTGAGGTCTTCCTCTACCACTTAAGCTGGAAAATCGCCTCATGACTTTTACAAAGAGTCGATGTGATTTAAAACCCAACCAAAATTTATGTAAAACTAGAAATGTGTCCATAGGACACGGGGTGCCCCCAAAAGCCACTGTTCTATCAATCTTATGACTCTAGGTCAAATATTTTTTGGACTACATATGCAATAAGTTGAAAACTAAAAATCTTTTACTAAATAAAGGGCAAGAACTTTACAAATACTGAATAGATCCACAAGCAAATCCCAAGGTGCATAAGTACACATGCTGACCAACAGTCTTGTAAACTTTCAGGCCTACAAGTCAAATACTTTTTGAGCTATGCATGAACAAGTTGAAAATTCCAAATTTATACTACTGTAAGTCAAGGGCAATAAATCTAACAAAACTGAAAAAATCCTCATGCAAAGTCCCAGGTGCATAGCTTCACAGTGATGTTGATCATTATTCCTGTAATTTAGTGATGTTGATCATTATTCCTGTAAAGTTGGTTGATTCTAACTCAAGCACTCAAGGAACACATAAAACAACATTATAAAACGGTTTTTACTAAGTAAAGGGCAATAACTTTACAAATACTGGATAAATCCACAAGCGAAACCCAAAGTGCACAACTACATATGCTGAGCAACATTCCCGTAAAGTTTCATGACTCTATTTCATATCCTTTTTGAGTTACATGCGACACAAGTTGAAAATTGTAAATTTTTACTAAGTCAAGGGCAATAACTCAAAAATACTAAATAAATCAACACGAAAATACCCAGGTGCACAACTACAAATGCTGATCAACATTCCTGTAAAGTTTCATGACTCTATGTCAAATCCTTTTTGAGTTACATGCGACACAAGTTGAAAATTGCAAAATTTTACTAAGTCAAGGGCATTAAATCTAAAAATACTATATAAATCCAGACGAAAAAACCCAGGTGCACAATTACACATGCTAATCAACATTCCTGTAAAATTTAATGACTCTATGCCAAATCTTTTTTGAGTTACATGCGACACAAGTTGAAAATTGCAAAATTTTACTAAGTCAAGGGCAATAACTCACAACTACACATGCTGATCAACATTCCTGTAAAGTTTCATGAATCTAGGTCAAATACTTTTTGAGTTACGTGCGACACAAGTTGAAAATAGCAAATTTTTACTAAGTCAAGGGCAATAACTCTAAAAATACTGAATAAAAATACTGAATAAATCCACACAAAAATACCCAGATGCACAACTGCACATGCTGATCAACATTCCTGTTCAGTTTCATGACTCTATGTCAAATACTTTTTGAGTTACGTGCGACACAAAAGAGAACGGACGGACGGACGGATGGACGGACAAGGGTAAATCTAAATTTCCCCCCCCCCCCCAAAGTGGGGGCACAAAAATGAGTTAGTAATAAAAGCCGAAGAAGTTTTAATACAATGTTTCAGATGCATTGTTACAACTGCGACCTTAATTTCATTAAGAGTAGCTATTTACAAATAATTAAATAAATCCGTTCATGTTGGCAACTGCCGTCTGCTTTTTTGCTGTAAATAAATAGGAAGAATTTATTGCCTTTATAAACATATATGAAACCCTCTTAAATCTCCGCACAATAGGTTATTTAAACTGTCACTAATACGTTTTGGATTAACTTTTTAAAATATTATTAATAAATTTGAATTTTTTTATCTTTATATGCATGTAAGATCAAAAACAATTTAACGAGATCTTCTTATATCCATTTCAGACCTGTCATAATTAGAAAAGATGGGTTGTTAAGTAGCTTTAGGAGGAAAGCCATACATGCATATATTGTAGAAATATATTTAGAAATATAACATTTACAGCACCCGTTGTTATAACTACAAACAAGAGCTGTCAAAGGAGACAGCACGCTCGACTAATTAAATACTGGACGCAGTTACTGTATAGCCTATAGGAAGAAAAAAATTATGAAAAAAAAAAAATCAATTATGATATAAAATTTAGCATCAAATGTTCAATATTTTGCACCACACAATATGCAAATGACCATGTCAATAAAGGTTAAACAGACATCCCTGAAGCAATAACGAAGAAAATATTGACGCTAGGGTTATGAACCTTGTATTATTGTTTATGTGAACTTAATTATTAAATTAAACGGGATTATGCCAAAATGAAAACATATTTTGATCTTTACCCGTTCACTCACTATATACCCCTGAATGGGCATTATGTCACTTAAAATGGGAGTTGATATGAAACTTAGATTTAAGTTTAAAGTAAATCCTTTGAAAAATAAAGAAGTTAGAGCAAAAAATAACAATTTTTATTAAAAAATCCAAGTTCAGGGGGCGGGATAATTCTTGAAATATTCATTCTAGAGTTAAGAATCTTGTCACACATGATTATTATGATAATCAGTAACATGGGTGATGATAAGTAATAAATATTGGAAGTTTGAGGTAGATACCAAACGAAATGAAGAAGTTAAAGTAAAAAAAAATATCATTTTTACAGAAAATTTCAAGAAAAAGTTCAAGGGAGATAATGTGTGCAACAGTTAAGAATTTGTCACACTTCATGTGGTTGATGATAAGGAACATATATTTAAAGTTTGCAGTTTGATCCCTTAAGAAATAAAGTATTTAGAGTAAAAAAAAAACGCTAAGTTCAAGGGGAGATAATGTACGTTGTATAGTCGATTATTCTGCACTGTCCTCTTAGAAGTGTAAAGCAAGAAGGATGTGGGCAAATTAATTACTATAAGAAGACATTTAAATGAAAATATGAGTATATAAATAATTATAGATCTACACTCGTGTTTTAGCAAATAAAGACCTTTTCCTTATCTGTTTTTTTTTTTTTGTTTCATTTGTTTTGGGAATTTGTTTATTTCAGAAAGAAAATCAGGAAAACAGTAATCCCTCGAAATCATTAATCACAAAAAAATAGCATAAAAATTGCAGACTCGTTTTGACTTAGTCTGTACTTGAGGGATGCATCAGTCACGCCCCTAGCACCGGCTTAAAAGCATTACTCAATTATCAACTGGAATTATTGAAAGATGAAAGAAAGTTGCAATTGAGAGGGACTTACCACATATATCTCAATATTGCTTACTCATTTGCTAAACTTCGGAATATTTTAATCATTTTCCAGTTTTATTTTACGGAATAATCTGACAGTCATTAACAGAATCACAGCAACATAACATTTTGTGTTTCTACTGAAAATAACCGGTGCTGGGGTACATCTATATCATCTTTGTTGACAAGTGGTATTCTCAAAACAGGTAATTTTGCATCTACATGTAATTAGTTAAAAAAAACGGGAACAAAGAATTATGTCCTTTAATAATAGGTCTTTTTTACAAATGATCATTATTCGAGGTTGGACTTTTGCAAAGAATACAATGCGATTCTTGTTGAACTCAAATCAGCTTGTGTTACAACGCATACAAACAATTAGAAATTCGGAGTTTTATAGCAAATGCATCCAATATAGAATGCCATTTGTGAGGCAATCAAATGTTTATTTTAAATCTTATATATTTCTAAACAGACAAATTTTGCTTTTCGTATAAGGTGCATTGTCGGATGAATAATATTGCTTTAAAAGAGATCTATGGTATTTTAAAATAATACTATAATAATGTCCAATTAGCAAACTTGAAAGCTATAGCGAATGTGCTTCCGAAGCTGTTAGCAGAACCAATGTTAAGATTGTTTTAATTGTTTAAAATTATTTTTTGGCCAATAGGGTAAGTGTTCATTAATAAGCATTTAATCGAACGGCTACTGACAAAGTCAACTTGCTATTAACTGACAAAAACGAGCTGATACAATCTGAGAATGTCGAGTTTCCACAAAGTGAAAAAAGTCAAGGTGACATGAACTGACAATTTCGATCTGAAATATTCTGACAAGTCGAGCTGCCAAAAATTGACAAAGTCGAGTTGCCACAGACTGAAAAAGTCGTACTATCACAAACTGACAAAGTCGTGCTGCCATTAAGCCTCGGTCTCACTTACTCCCGGCAGAGCCCAGGATCATCCCGGTAAGTTACCGGGATGATCCGGGACGATCCGGGGTGAAATTATTGTTGCGGTCACACTTACCCCGGCAGCACTACGGTAGTTCTCAACTAACCACCCAGGATGCGCTCCGGATCATTCAGGCAGAGCCCAGGTGCAGCTACGGTTCATGCCGGTGCTTCCCCGGTCGTTCCCGGATGACGCCGGAAGAGCCCCGGTTGACCCAGGCAGAGCCCGGTCGATCCAGGCAGAGCCCCGGCAGAGCCCAGGACGATCCAGGCAGAGCCCCGGTAGAACCCCGGTGGATTGAAAACGTCCGAAAATGATAACATCGATACATATTTTTTTATTTAATATAATATCTATTGTTCCAGAATAGTAATTCATGATGATTTTCTGAAAAATCCTTATGCCATACTTGATAGAAGGGAAATGGGAAGGCTTTTAATACAAACAAGTGCAATCATCGCAAATTGTCGTTTTTCTTTTGAAATGATCCGGGCTTTGCCGGGGCTCTACCGGGATCAACCGTAGCTCTACCTTTATCATCCGGGCTCTGCCTGTAGTTGCCGGGGCTCTGCCGGCATTTTCCGGGGCTCTTCCGTAGCTCTACCGTAGCTCTACCGGCTATATCATACCCCGGATCATCCCCGGTTTGTGCGGCAGAGCTACGGTGCTTCCCCGGTATAACCCGGTCGTTCCCGGCAGAGCTAAGGATGAAGCCGGCAAAGCTATACCTTCCCGGAT